CCCTCACCGTGTACTATGCTGTTCATACAAACGTTTCCCTTCCTCTTTCCCTCGGTATCAGCCAGCATAGAAGAAAAATAAGAAAAACTAGGCCAGAGGGTGGAGTGATATTTGGACAGCAAGCAAAGACTGGTTCCTGTGAAAAGAAGCCATATTAAGGGTAGCCAGATAAGTTGCAAGGTGATTTAAACAAACAAACATGATTACCTCTCCTTTTTTTCCCTTTCTTCTTTCTCAGTGAAATCACTCTCACATGCTTCTCTGTGCTGAGGACAGCACTTTGGATCAGTTTCGGTTATGTGGCTTCAATAAATCGGAGGCAGGGTCTCTTAGGTCTTGTTGCCTGTAATGTAAGCTGCTAAATCGCTGTTATTCTTTGGCCCCTTGACCTTGTGCTCTGAAGCGGGACCAGTGACATCAGGCTTTCTGATGACTCTCTCCCCACCCCCCGCCGGAGAGGCCATCTCACCTCCAGGAAGAGGTGTGTCCTGTGAGGACCTTAGTGAGTTTTTGCCGGATGTGTCCCTTGGGAGGTTTCCAAAGCGCTGGCTGCTTCATGACACAAGCAATAAGACCTGCACGGATTAGAGTCCCTTGCTTAAAAAAGGTACAGTCCAAGATGGAAGTTTTTAGTTTGGAGAGGCATAGGCAGATTCATTGTCACAGGAATCCAGAAGGAGATATTTGTAACAGAGAAAGAAGGAAGAGTAGCAACTCCTTACCTATCTGGAGCTCAGCTGTGCAGCAATCTCACCTTCTGAAACACAGCCCAAATCCAGGGAGTGAGTGACCCCTGAACACCCTAAGAGAAGATGAAGCACCCACACAGCTGACTTACCGGAAAGGCAGCCTGTAGTCCTTGTTCCCTTCTGACTAGGCCGGCTATCTCCAGGACCACAAGAAGTTAGAAGCACTGAATTAGAAGGGGAGGGCTAGAGGAAGGCGCCTGGACAGGACAACAGATTTTTGCCAGTGCACCACAGTGACGTTAGCCTGAAAAAGCAAGTCACAGAAGCAATGC